CCTAAATAAGAGCATCAAAGTGTTGTTGTTTTGAAGGGTTATTTAAAGGCAAGTATTTTGAAAATTCAGGATTTCCATATTCAAATAGATAGTACTTGGTTGTCATTTGCAATGCCAGGGCAGCTAAGACCAAGTAAACTGACTTTCCTTGAAAGATTTTGGCTATCCTCTGCCACACTAAAATAACCCATTAAAGATTTGAGTTCTTACCATCAGCACACTGTTGCAGTCCTGTAATTCATACTCAAAGATGAGCACTCTTGCCACAGGATCCTGACCAACAACAGGACATCCACCTAAAGACAGACCAGTTGGCTGGATCAACTGACCATTGCTGAAAAAGTCCTGCTGGACCTCTACAAGGACCCGGTTCTCGCCGCATTGAACCGCTACGCTGCTGGGAGTCACGGGTTGCCTCAACTGGAAGTCCACCGCCAACTCACTCTGCTCCTCGGGAACGATGGGATACCTCCAATCCAAAGGCTTCACTGGACCCTGCAAAAGCTGCTTCTCCTGAAGGCCAAAAGGCTCCTGTGCAAGGCTTTTGGAGACGGGACCCAAAGGGCTCTGAAACTGAGAAGCCACTTGCAAAGGGTTCCAGAGCCCTAGAGGGAAAAGGCCAGGACTTCTGGAAGCTGGATCTGATTTTGGCCCCATACTTCTTGGACTTTGACTGTACCTCAAACTTCCCCAGACATCAGGCAGATCAAATGCAACCACCAAAACCACCACTAACACACCTTTCAGGAATCCCATACTAACAAACTTTAACTCAAACACCACAACACACACCAGTGCTTGGCTTTGCTATTTTGTACAGCTTTGAATTAAGTTGGCTCCACCCCTTTTACCTTAATTGATTACCTTTGATTCTCCTCTGGACCTGTAGAGTTTATGCATCTCGGGGACCCACCGCTCTTCACATTCTGTATGGCCACGTTCACACCGCAAGTCCTAATGCTCAATTCTGATTTTTTGCTCAGATCCGATTTTTTGATTGGCTGTTCACATTACCTTTTAAAATGTGACCTATATCTGATTGCAGTGTGAACTGTTTGAGGTTTCAAACTAACCGGCATGCGCAAAAGAACAATAACAATGACATCAGACGCAGCACGCGGTTGCACTAAAGTTCGGGAGGTTATGGAGGAAGTAAGCATATTCACATTTATTTCATAATGTTTGTGTAATGGAAACTTTTGCGGGTTAATGGTTGCAAATTCACTACAGAGATCTGTGTGGATGCGTAGACGAAGCCAGGATTGGTGGGAATATGACGTGAATAGTTTCACTGAGACGCTGTTCTCCTGTGTCCCCGTTCTTCCATTTCGTGTGCAATTTTTTCAAAAACGGAGCGGTTACGGTAGGTCCTTCTAGCTTGAATTGAAGTATCTCCCCATATACTTAGATCTAACACCTCACTCTCATTGACTCGCGTCATCGCTGTTCTCCATATCTAGTCAAGTTTTTAATGTTAGGCTACTGTCTGTGTCTGTTGTGTCTAGGGCTTCGCCGGCGCATAATTGTGACAAATGTCGACGTAGATTGACGTAAAAGTCGCATCAAATCCGCTTTGATTGTTCACACTGCGGTCGCATTGAAAAAAATCAGATCTGGGTCTGATTCAGGACCACATATGTATGTGGTCTAAATCTGATTTGAAAAAATCAGATCTGGGCTAGATTTGAGTGTTCACACTACCTCTGAAGAAGTCTGACCTGGTCACTTGACCCCAAAAAAATCAGATTTGGGCCACTTTTGCCTGCAGTGTGAACGGGGCCTATGTCTCTCTTATCTGACACATTAAGGGGGGTATTTACATGACACCATTTTCAACTAAAACTCTTTCAACTAGAAAAAACTCTTTTTATGCATTGTGTTCATTTACACAACAACAGCATTTTGGAGTCCTAAAAAATCTAACTTTTGCAAACTGGTTTCAAAGTGCAAGTTTTTGAAACCAATTCCATTATTGTCTCCGTACTATAAACACATGAATTTATGAAAACTGTGACGTCATGCGCATGCCTATTACGTGTTCAGTCTATAGGAGCGTAGTGTTCCTTTACAAAGTGTCATTGCCAACTACTGGCCTGGCAGCAGAATACAGCGCTTTTAGTCATTTTTACAGATCCTTGTGAACCGGGATCAATATGACAACATTGTTGTCTGTACTCAAAACATTTAAAAACGTGAAGGATAACCTAAGGAGCTGATGGTCTGAATTGGGCGTGTGTTAAATAAGAGAGACACTTAATGTCTTCTAAAAAGCACCTGAGCTCACATAAATAGAGATTATTCATAAATATATTTAAAATACAAATTTACATAGATAAAGCCTTTTGAGTTGTAAGTTCAGAATAATCACTGAAGTCCATCATATACTGTATGCATATAGCCTGATGCAACATAAATGAGTTGCAAGGACAACAATAATTGTCCCGTTTTTATTCTTCACGGTGTATTTTTAATTCTTTGGATGTGTAATATCACTTTATTACTTGACTTCTTCTGATTTAATTCCACAGTGAGAGAGATAAATCAACATATTGCTAAAACATTTTATTAGTATCAAGAGGTGGAAAGGATAAAGTTTGTTGCACTGATCACAGGTAAAGTCTAAACATTTTATGACCGAAACCATTTTAGAACTGAGACAGCATTACAATTCACTTAATACCCTTCCAAGTTTTTTTCAACAAGGTTATTTTAATGCTTCCACAAAACCATCACATAAACATGGAGCCCTCTTGTGGCTGATGGGATACATTGTACATACATGCATAATTCACTATATAAATGATTTGTTTTTTATTTACACAATAAAACGTCTTAATTCCAAGAAAAGGTCAGTTTTAACCTTGTTTCTACAAAGGACTTTGTAGAAACTTTTACCTGCATTTTTAGTCACATTTTTAGTAATACAAGAATTGTCAACAACAAATACCAACTTAACTTGACGTTAATGCATTGACAAACTTCCCTTATAAAATAAAGTACAGTAGTACCATGGTAAAGTGATGGAGTTAGATGGTAATACCACAGTACTTTGCTGCAGTGCTATAAAATAATTAATAATAATAAAACTTACACCAAGGCAACATTTCTCATTTTTTATTTACATAAATACATATTATTAAAATTACTTAAACTTAAGCTATATATATATAACCATAATAGCATATAAATAATATGAAAATAACATTCTGTACTTTATACAGAAATCAATTTTTGCCCTTCAAATCCTCCTTCCACCCAATGTAAAATAAGATCGAGAGACAAAGCATTGCTTTAACAACTTAAAATATTTATTTTTTGAATGAAAAATATAGTTGTTTACAATGGGATATAATTTAGCTCTTCTGACAGCTGTACATCATCAGAACACACTCATGATGATGGCGGCAAGTTTAATATGGTTAAAAGTTAATAACACTTAAAATCAGCCATATAAACAGTATGTGCTATTAATATACATGTATTCCAAAAAGCAGCTCTGGGAAGGGCTTTAACAGTCCAGTTTTCAGCTTTGTTCATAAATTGTCTTGAATCTCTGTTTTCCAGTTCAGATGAACACTGATCACGGGCCGCTCACATACTAAATATGAGCAAATGTCCGTCATCGCAACAGTTTGCCTAAATCTAGAGCAATAAAACTCAACATGAATTATGAAAAGGTTCTGAGACAGACATTGTGCTTTTGTAACCATTTACTCAAACACTTAGATGATTTTCACCTCATGACGGATAAATGCGGATTCAAGCCATCGTGTAGATATGTTCAGAATTGAACTGTTTAACGTATTAGTTCATTCACGATTTGAAGTGATATTCTAATGCACAATATAATGTGAAAAAAGTGATTGTCCTTCACAAAAAAAGAAAATTAAAAAAGGACATTCAGAGTTTTAGAGTGTATTTCAGGTCATATTTCAGCCCAAAAATCAAAAGAAAAAAACATATTATAATAATTTTATATTTTGCATGAAAAATAAAGCCTATTTTGGGACAATTAAACCTTTCTGCAATACTTTCATAATTACACATTTTAGTCATGTGAAAAATCTCATTGCTGGAATTCAGTAATTCATCAGGACACAATAAATTAAATTCAGCACAACAAATACTTTCAATTGCACGCACTTAAATTGCATTTAAATTTTTATTTTATTTTTTACTTTTGTTTGTGAAGTGAAATATGACCTGGATATTTTCTGTGATATTCACTCATAAAAAAAATTGGATACTTTCAATAAACTGTAAATGACTGTCATAATGAATCTATCGACTCGCATGAAGTCGTAGTTTGAATGGGACACTGCAGGTATGTAACAGCACCATTACGGTGGAAAGGTGGAATCAATCAGCGTTGCTATAATAATTAAAGATTATAAGACCTGATTGCAATGTGAATTAAAACGCCAAGGGCCTAAATGATTTGATATGGCACATTGTGCTTGGTTAGTGCAGTTTCACAGTGTTTTAAGACTTTAAGATAAGAAGTAAATGAACTCCATATGCTGAAAATTCTTTGGTAAACCATCATAGCTGGTGTGTGTAAGTTAGTGAGGTCACAAACCGTTAACAATACACCCAACACTATTGTTCACTCCAATCCATAAGTCAAGTCTGTGACGCTCTTTGGTGCGTCGGGTTATTGAATGCTGGTGGCTGAAAGAGCTGAAAAAATACAAAAATATCCCTAATGCAAAGAGAAAGCCTTTCTGATTATGATACGTAGAATACATTTGAGAGTTTTCATATACAATTGTAATACATATTGTAAATTATTTATAGGTTGCGTCTGCGGACAGAAAATAAACCCTCCCGTCTTTGGCTGCATTCAAACTCGAGATGCGTTTGATCAGTGGAACCCATTCGTAGAGTTACACGCTCATGACACAATCTCAAGAAACAGCTTTAACACTGGACGTGAAACTCCCGGAGTCCTGTAACATCCATCCCATGATGCAACAAGGTGAATCTCATGAAAAGAAACGAGCATTTAGAAAAGCAAGGTTTTTTTTTGTACATTTTGCCTTTACTTTCATGAAAATTGAACACATTGTCCATCATATTAATATTTTTGGGGGCTTTTCGTGAGATTCACCCGATCATTTCTACTGAAGTGAAATCCACACACGTCGTTTTCGTTTTGGCGTGCTAAACCTTCATGCGTAAACTAGTAAAATCCACGAGGAACCCGGTATAAAAGAACCACTGCAGTTCAGCGCATCATATTAAATAACAGAGCTGCGTCATTCGCGTCTATGTACAGCAAAATAAAAGTGCTGGGACTGACGTCCGCGATCACGTGTACAAGCCCACAGGGAAATCTGTGAATAATACTGGATAAAGAGAGCGCGGCGCAGTGTCCTTCATACTTGCCCCGTCACTAATACTGTGAGGAAGCCAAGCCGCGCCGGCGCCGGTCCGATGCGATGCGTTCACGGCTCCGGCGGACTGAGAGGTCGTGAGAGGGCTCATGGGACATGAGCCAGCGCTGGTCTCAGATCAGTCTGGAGTTTCTCAGGAACTGAATGAGCACTTTGTAGATGAAGGTGTACTGTGAGAGCGTCTGCACCATCATCATGCGTTGCTGTCGCAGCAAAGTCAGAACAGTCGGGACGTCCAGCATCTGTTCGGAAACAACCACGCATCGTTTTACATTCTGAATCTGAACCATGTTTTAGAATATTAGATAAATAGGCAAAGCAATGCAGACTTATTTATATATATATATATATATATATATATATATATATATATATATATATATATATATATATATATATATATATATATATATATATATATAAATAAAAAAAACATACGCAATGGAAATTCAAAGGGCTGTACATAAAAATTATTTAAAAATTATAAATATAAAAAGGCACATAAATACAAAACGAAAATTGTTTTGTAACAAACAAATACAATCAATAGTAAAAGATATATAATTAATATAATATATAAATTAGCAGTACATACTTATTTATATATAAAAAAAGTCATACGCAATGGAAATTCAAAGGGCTGTACATAAAAATTCTTTATATAAATAAAGGCACATAAATACTAAACGAATTTTTTTGTAACAAACAAATACAATCAATAGGCAAGGCAAGTTTAGTTTATATAGCAATAGTAAAAGATATATAATTAATATAAAATAATATATAAATAACATCTACTTAAATAACATTTAATATTAGAATAATTAAAAAAATTATTGATGATTAATAACTTTAGTTTTGAACTCGCGTCTTATAACATGAATCTGTTTTTGCACTGATATTAGACTGATTTATTTATTTGAAACCCATAATTTACACAAGAATGATTAAAATATTGTATATATAGAACAGAAGAACAGTAAAAATAAAAACAATACATATAAAATATATAAATATAAATTAAACTATATTAGACATTTAATATTAAAGTAAAATAATTTATATTGTTTTATGTATTTAGGATTAACTCAAGTGTTTTATGAATCTTGTTTTGAACTGATTCATTCAGTTGCTACAAATTATTTACATAATGATTAAAATATTGTATATAAAAGGTACAGAACTAAAAAAATAATTTTAATAGATACATTTAATTAACCAACATTTCATATTAAATTATAATAATTAAAATAAAAAATTAGTCAAGTGTTTTATATTATGAAGCCAATTTTGCACTGATATCAGATGGATTAATTCATATATATACATATTACTTAAATCAATTTAATAATAAATAATTATTAATTGAAATTAATACATTTTATTTAATTTGTAAATCCATGCATTTTTCAAAAACAATCTTCTTTTTTTTTAATAAAGATTTTTTTCTGTTGAATTTGCAGCAAAAGAAATCAATTTGCGATATATACCATTAACATTATATTAAATGTCTCATACTGTGATGGGATTACAGTGCAACCCTATAAACTATATTTATGACCCCTAGGTCCTAGGTCAAATTTTCATAATGTTTTACAATGTTAACTGGGAAAAGCATTTTCAATGTTTTGCCCCGGGTTACACAACAGCACCACAGTCTGTGCTTTCGTCATATTCAATCAACTGTGACTAAGGTCTAAGTGTAGTACAAACCTGTCCAGCCACATGCCTACATCTGCAGAGAATGCGGTCATCTCTATTCCTAGCAAGCATGTGTTTTGTAAGCTGAAGCAGAAGTGTAACATTTCTTTCTGCCCTGATGGTTCCCCCCCGATAACCGTGACCATTTTGCCCTGAAATGCTCTAATTCTGTAATGCCTTCATGCCACTGTAAGCACAGGACATAAGTACCTCATTATGTTCCAGACAAGCTATCATGATCTCAGACAGAATGACCACACCAGTGCGTCCCACCCCGGCACTGCAGTGCACCAGAACCGGCAGGTTTGTGTTCTTTGGGTCGCTGGAGCTGTTGGTGTGTCGCCTCACGGACTGGATCTCCTCCAAGTACGCTAACACACAGAAATAGAGCATTTAAAGAGCCACGCCAGGCTAAAACACTCCAGGCAAGAACAGTTATGCAGCTTACAGTCATGCATGGTTGGGATGATCTTAAGAAACCTTTCAACATGTCCAGCTCATATTTCACACACAAATTAGAAATGATATTGTGCACCAAGAAAATAAAGCCTATGCAATAAGATGTTGTGACATTACTGTTATGCATTGTGCCAAAACAATTAAACACATTTAATCTGCAAAAAATATTTATGACCATAAAACTATAAAGACAATATAATATGATATAATTCCAGACACATATACACACACACGCACATTTAAATTGCATAAGTATTAATGTATATATATATATATATATAGTGTGTGTATTAATTATAATAGTATATATTATAATTGTAGTATATTATAATATAATGAAAATTCTTTAATCATTTTATATTAAATATTTTTTACACATGTTCTTGTGCATATTCATATTTTTCTTAATACAATAAGATGTTCGGCTATATATATAACTCGGAAATATGACCTGAGGGATGTTTTTGTGACATTCTCCTATTACAACATTCCTTACAGCAGCATGTTAAACATTTTAAGAGAATACTTTCACTTTTTTTTCTGGCTTACTAACAGAGAAATGTACAATTTGTATTATCCAGACAATATGAATATGAAACCTACAAACAAACTCACTTGCAGATACTAACACCACCTGTGATGTCTTGAGTGCCAAAAGCAGTGATGTTTGATCTAAAGAAAGCCTGTTATCGGTGTTATACTTACAAAGAAACCCTTTAAAGTCCTCGGGGCAGCCGTGATCGGGCCAGTCGGTGTACTGCAGGTGCCAGACGGTGCGCTCCTGTCCTGTGAGGAGGTGTTTGATCTTCAGGCCCGTTGTGGCGTAGCACCCCGAGTCCGTACGGAAGCGCGTGGTGATCTTAAATCGTCCATAAGTAACAGTGTTGTGGCGAGAACCCAGACGAGGCCAATAGCGGAAACTCTTCTCACGACCTCCTTCCTGCAGGTCAGGAAACAAAACAAGCCATTTAGAGGAGGCAAAGATTTAATAAAGGCAAAACACATCAGTTTGAAGAGTGACACGATCTATGTTTCCATCCACACGTTTGTATCCAAATTAATTGATATCGAATGAAAAATGGCTTATGGAAACAGTAAAATTCGATTGAATTTCATGAATATCGACTCAAATGAAATGCGTTCGGTCTCATGGGATTTTACCTTTATCGATATACGGCTTATGCAATAAACGTTATTTGCCAAAAAAATAATGAATTGCGATTAAGTTTTAGGTCATTTTATGGTTGCAACCCGCCACAAAACATAGTAGTTTTAGTTCATTTCCGCCCAGTATATCCGCTCTGTTTGCGCACACATGGCGGGTGTCAACAAAGACAGATGTAAGTGGACAAACAAGGAGACGAGATACTTTTTGAATTTACTTTACCAGAAAAATATAACGGCTATTTTAGATAGCAAAAATCGAAGAAATGACATAATTTATCAGGAACTCGCAAAGGAAATGGCCAACAAAGGTTACGACAAGTAAGTAAGGAGTAAATGGAAGGCGCTCAAACAGCAAAAAAGAGTTAATAGCGTCGGAGTTTTCTTATTATAGCTTGATATGTCGCTATCAGCTCGCACATAAGCACTATTAGGCTACAACTTCTGCAATATTGATCATTTGTTGGTAGATGGCACAATCCATTTTGTCAAGCAAAACTTTGTTCGCAAATGTTTGCTTGAATGTTGTGCGATTCAGTGCGAAAATGAATGGAAACACCTTAAAATGTCTCAAATCAATTTGATCGCAAAACAGCATGTGACGTCATTACGCACAGGTTTTTAAACCATTGGATGGAAACACACTTTCACCAGCTTTATTCGCATGAGTTTTTTTTACCGAACTTCAGATAATTCGATTGACAAGTGGATGGAAACTTGGCTACTGTAAATAACAAATAGGGCTTAATTTGAATCGATTCTCATTTTGATGAACCAAAATCACATCCTGCCACCTGCCATCCAATAAACTGCAAGAAGCTTTGTGACTTTTGATATGTTACATACATTTACTGAAATGAATCCTGTCATGTAATCGCTCGATCAGTGTTTCAACCGCGGAAAGAAGGATAAATCAGCATGAGACGTGAATGTCACGTAATGTACATTTACTGCAGGAAAGCCATTCAAATGTCCATAACCGTGATAGTCAGCTTAGTCTAGAGAAGAGCATTTTGATAAATATACATCATTATATTTTTACTTAATCTGTTCTTTAATATTTAATGTATGTTTGAATGAATCCATCATGAACAAGTGTTTATGACAGGCACTGCTTAACAAATTGGAGTAAAAAATTATAGCATTAAAAATGACTATTGTAATGTTATTATTATAAAACTACCTTGTGTGCAATTTAAATGCTTCTACACAAATCAATTTTATCCTTTAATATTACAGTAATGTACTAGCTGACAGGATTCCCTGTATAGTTACAGCATTAGTTGTAGAGATTACACAATTTTTCATATAATATATATAAATACACATTTTATTTTTATTTTTATTAATCGATATCTAATCAAATCAGGATTGGAATTGAAACAAATCGAAATTTTGTGAATCGAAATCAAATCATGAAATTTGTGTCAGTACCCAGACCTAATGTAATAACCACATTTCCTTTCCGTTCATGCAGAGATATGTTTTAATGTTCACCTCCTCTGCTGTGACCATGCCGATGATGGCAACTCCTTGTTCCCAAACCATTTGCCAGAAGTCTTGGCAGGTGCTGGAAAGCGGACCCTGAGATGCGATATAACTCCACTCTTTACCTCTGACCGTAACCTGGTAAACAAAGCGGCAGAAATCACAATTTGAAGGCTGATTCATCTGATATAAATCAACGCATAAATAAAATAAAACACATAAATAAAATATAGCTGCAAACATCAATTATTGGGTCCAAATAGTCCAAACACTTTAAGACCTTCAAGTGCATGCATAAAAATATAGGCTATGCATAATTTAGCAATCCAGAAGTTAAGCTATTTCAGGTAATATACAATAGAAATGTAGCATTTTAACATTCATATCTGTTATATGCCTGATTCGCCATAAAGTTTTGAATGCTCCTTAGACTAAAGGTGCTAAAGCACTGTCCATTTTTGTTTTGATCACTGTAGCGCCACCATGTGGCCAATCAGGACAAGACGATTGTTTCACCAACCCTTTAAACCAGTTTCAGATCCCTAGGATTACAGTTTGATCTGCACAATCAGTTTTAGGGCATACTATTTTTTTTTCTTTTTTCAAAACAGCAGGGTTTCAGCAGTTTGTGCTTAAACTTTGAGGGTTGGTAGTATGTCATTAAGATCTCTAGTATTACGGTTTGTATTCTTATCAGGGTTCCCACACCTCGGTTAACTTCAAATTCAAGGACCTTTCAAGGACTTTCCAGGTCCAACACCCTCAAATTCAGGACTTAATGTGGGGACACATGTGTTGTGTTCAACAACAAACATTGAGGTTCCATCGTAGTAGTTTCGTGTGCGCGTGAACGTCATGGCAACGTATAACACAAAGCACCTCACGCGGGAAACACTTAAAGTAACGCGAAAATGCGTGTAACTAACGTAAATCAAGCTAGCTAGTGTGCATAGGCCACGAAGTGTTGGCGAAACACTTCCATCTGAACGGAGGGAATAATATGGAATTTTTTCCAGAAAACGTCTAGCACAAAATTAATTCAAGCACTTTCAAGGACCTGTATCTATTTTCAAAAACTTTCCCGGGCCTTGAATTTTATTTTTCAGATTCACAAACTTTCAAGGACCCATGGGAACCCTGTCTTATGAAATTTAGGTTGAACTTCTAAAATTAAATACAATGTCCTGAAGTATCGATGCATATTGTCCATGCACGATTGAATGGGCACAGATCGCCAGCTCACCCTGATGTGTGAGGCGTTGATGTAGCCCGTGTTGTTCTCTTTGGTGGGCACCAGCTCCACACGCGTGTCGTCGTAGGGCAGCACATCCTGGAAGCGGTTCCTGTCGCTGTTCTCGGGCATCTGAGCGATAGTGCACTCACAGCTGGGCCGCTTCTTGTGCACCTGCTCGTACTCGGTGAACACCATCCCCTGCTCCACTCGCTGCTCCAGTATCTTACACTGCAGGACACACACACGGGACGCGAGGATCTGTTCAGAACGTGACGCCACACAGCATGCTAACAGCGAGTACTGATGTATGAGGAAATGAACTGCACTCTCAAAATTCCCCACTCAATAAGTAATTTAGTTGCTATACCATTGAACATCTGCCCTCAACAGAACTGCTAGTTGATGACTTCACTATCAACAATACACTTCACTATCATACATATATATATATATATATATATATATATATACACACTACCGTTCAAAAGTTTGGGGTCGGTACGATTTTAAATACTTTTAAAAGAATTATCTTCTGCTAACCATGGCTGCGCTTATTTGATTAAAAATACAACAAAAATCAGTTATAGTATTAAATATTATTCCAGTGTAAATCAGCTGTTTTCTGTGTGAATATATAGTAAAGTGTAATTTATTCCTGTGATCAAAGCTGAATTTTCAGCATCACCAGTGTCAGTGTCTTCAGTGTCAAATGATCCTTCACAAATCAGTATAATATGAGGATTTGATGCTCAAGAAACATTTATTATTATTATTATCAATGTTGAAACAGTTGTTGGTCTGTCAGTTGTACAGTTTTTTTTTTTTTTTAGGATTCGTTGATGAATAGGAAGTTCAAAAGACTTTTGTAACATTATAAATGTCTTTACTGTCACTTTCGATCAAATTAATTATTCCTTGATAAATAAAAGTATTGATTTCTTTCCTCCAAAAAATTAAAATAAAATTCTCACTGACCCCAAACTTTTGAACGGTAGTGTAATATATATATATATATATATATATATATATATTTATATTATTTACACATACATTCACGCATATATAAATAAAAGGGTCGTCGTGTTGATAGACCATATAATTGTGTATTGACTATAGTCCAGAGATATTGCCGATGACTGATGCCTTTGACGATTTTGACATTTTACCATTAATGTTTTAAATGATCATTATTATAAAGGCTAGTATTCTTAAATTAAATTAATATTAGGACCTTTAATTTGCCTTACCTAATTTCATAACATCATGCGCGTATGAGGATTGAGGACTCGATGAAAATGTTTTTAAAAACGACTACAAAACTACATCAAAATTTAACTGGAAGGTGATCTATTCACAAATTGTCAAGAGTGCTTGTTATAAAAGAGACGCATCATTCTTATAGTTGTTGTTTAAGATGAGAATGGCATCGCCGTTTTTCAACATTTTGTTTAGTTTCCACAGCACATTAACAAAACATATAAATGCACTAATAACACTAAAACAATACAATTACACATCAATATCACTAAAGTTATATAGGCCTAATAACAGTCTTTAGGTCCCAAGAACAGCACAAATCATCTGTGAAAATCAAGAGCGGATTGAAACACTGACTTAAAGACAACTTATTTAACAAGAAATATTGATTGTTTTTATTTTCACTGACATTAATGTATGGTCAAGAGAAATATTAAGCCAGTAAATTAAGATAGTTGATATATCGTATATAGATTCATCTCTCGTCTCTGAGAGAATGTGCTACAGACGGCAAAAGCTCGGCCAGTTTTTGCTGTCACTTTTACTTTCAGAGAATAAAGAGCATTTTTTCTAAAGTATTTGGGTTTATTTATTATACAAAGTCCTTTTTGTAGATTTTTCGAGAATAACTACATATATAAATAACTATATCATGAAATATATCGTTACCGTGAAATAAAATTAGTCATACCGTGAAATGCAATTTTGGTCATACCGCCCACCCCTATTAGGTTATGTTGTTTATACCTCACTATCAGGAAATAACCTGCTTTATTAATAAACACTCCTCCCTTGCTTGCAAAATAGAAAGTGTTTCTAATTTTCCGTGATCATAAATAGTAGAAAGTAAATAAATGAGCAAATTAATGAGTAAATAAGTAAGCAGTCCACCTCCAGCACAACTCACCCTCTCATCATTAGACGCGTTCTCCGGGTCGTCCTTGCCTTCATCGGGCAGTGGCATTCTGGACAGAGTCAGGCCGTTCAGAGCCGCCAGCTTCAGGGGTCCCACCTTCTTGACCTCCGAGCGTTTCTTCATGCCCTTCATACCCGGAGAGAGCGATGGAGAGAGCGAGAGAGAAAAACAGAGTCTGAGGATCAGGATCTGAGACACAGCTGTGCTCTTTGGCAGAATGCAGCTTTTCGGGTCTAACGGCCTGTTGGGCCGCATTCTTCAAGTCATGCGTATAAAGTCAAGTTTCCGGGCTCGCCCCAATGTAAAAACACCTATTCTACATGCTGACGAAATTAAAATAAAAGCCTCACCAGTCGGATCATATGCATTTACAAATCAGTTTGGATTTCCTTTATCAAATTACTTGAATTGATCATCTTTACAGGCGAAACTCAAATTCGAATATCGTGCAAAAGTTCATTTATTTCAGTAATTCAACCTAAAAGGTGAAACTAATATATTATATAGACTCATTACATGCAAAGTGAGAAATTTCAAGCCTTTATTTGTTATAATTTTGATGATTATGGCTTACAGCTTATGAAAACCCCAAATTAAACATTTGAATATTGTGAAAAGGTTTTCAAATCTGTAAGCCATAATCATCAAAATTATAACAAATAAAGGCTTGAAATATCTCACTTTGCATGTAATGAGTCTATATAATATATTAGTTTCACCTTTTAGGTTGAATTACTGAAATAATAGAACGTTTCAAAATAAGAACACATAAACAAATTGCAAACAACAGCACGAATAAATGCAATAGAATAAAGAGAAATATGACATAAACATGGCTTTAAGTTTTTTCAGCTGGGTCTAATAGTAGGTTAGTATTCGGGTAAGAAATACTACAGAAATTAAAGTTATCAAACGTAAAAATAACACTGGATAGTCTTCAATGTAAAAATTACATAAGATTAATGCTTACAATTAAAGTTACAAAAGTAATTCATTCAAGAGCAGTGATTTTCTTTATTTTTTGTTATGTTTATATTTAACATTGTCTAATATTAGACTGCTGTCACTTTAAGAGTTTATGCACAGATCCAATATACTGTTACACAACATGCGTTATCTTTCTCAACTATTTACGTTCCAAAACTGACTGTGTTCAACTGAATACTCTCCAATACAGTCATTTTGACATAATTTTTTATGTTTAAGCGCAGTAAGCCACTCATTTTGGTACTCAAAATAGCGCCTCGTCTCGTTCCTGTGAACATCTTGTGAGCTAAATGTACCGTCACACGCCCAATGATTAGCTTTTGATGCAAGAACCCCCTGCTTTAAGTAATTCTGATTCAAATCTGATCATTCGTGCACTTACTGCAGGCGGAAGGCCATCGATGTTCCTTCTCGCGGGTGGAACGTCAGAGACGGGTCTCTTAAAGAGGTCTCTCTTCTGTCTCAAGCGTCCCTGTCCGCTCAGATCCCCCTCTGAAACCGAGGGCATCATGTGTCCGGGCTCTCGAAGAGGGGGAAGCTGCCCCACATCCTCCGGTTTGCGGATGATCGGATGGGCCTGGTACGCGAGAGAGCCCGTCGGGACCGTGTCCATACCGTGGCTGAACGGATAAGCGGGCGGCTCTACGAGAGACCGCTCCAGCGGTGTCATGTGACGCTCAGGACCGCCCACAGCATCCTGAGACTGGGGTGTGTGACGCCCACTGTCGTCTTCAAACTCTTCTTCCTCACCGCTGCTGTGCACCAACATCGTGGCGTCGGACAGGGATTTTTTGTGGCCGTAGAACACGTCCTCCTTGATGACCACGTCCTCAGGCTTCGGGACCTCCAGGACGACATTGATGTCGGAGCCAGATGCCGTAGGGGTCATCGCCTGGGCAACCGGGGGCGGAGTCTCGGCCGCTGATGCGGATACCTGGGTAGAAAAATATTTTTAAAATAATAATACATTTATTAAAATAATTTAGAATCTTAGATTATTACTAATATTTAAATCTAAATTTACATAATTACAAATGCTTAAAATTATTGTATTACTTATTGAGAATTAGCAAAATTCTGTTGAAAACAATAAACGCATTAAATATCCATGAATTTTCGCAATCTTGAGTCTTAGATAATAATTATATAAGAATTAATTATATGATTTATGCTTTTTATTGAAATATATAAATTATATATAAATTATTAAGAATTTGTAAAATACTGTTTTTATGTACGGTACGTCATACAAAAGTATGTCAGTGAATAAAAAAAATATATATATAATTACCTCAAGTATAGTTCAATCCTGAACATGAATATTGCTAATAATTACATTATAATAAATTACATAAAATATTAGGATTCTTATTTAATTAGATTAGATTTAATTAAGAATTAGCAAACTGCTGTTGAAAATAGTTTAACCCCTTAAACCCGAAGTGTACCACCGGCAGTACAACCCCTCCCCCCCCCAATATGTGTATCGTTTTAAAGCTTAGAATCTCAGCTTTTTAATGCATCTAGCCACTTTGATCAACTCTTAACGAGTGCTGAGTAGTCCCTCTAAAACAGTGTAGCGCCGCGGGCACCATTATAAGAAAATTTATAATCATATTCAAAATTGTCTGAATCTGAACTTTACACTGAATGCAGCCAATTTGATTAACTCCTAAGTAGTGCTGAGATATTTACTGATAAATAGAATATGTTTTCGAAAAATTAATAAATAAATTAATATGAATAATTTATGAAATACTTTTTTGTACTACGTACTGCAATATGTCAATACATCATACAGCTCAGACTGTCGTGTGTCATGTGTAATTTGAAAGGTCTCAATGAGTAGAATACAACAATCATAAAATAGTATAAATAGCATAAACAGTTTGAAATGTGTATAACGCCACACTACTCGCCTTCCTCTCCTTCAGCCTCATGTTCTCCAGTCCGTACGCCAGCCCGGCGATCTCTATGGAGTTGCGCTTGTGCATGTGAGGACGGCGCGGCGTGACGAGAGGCTCGCTCACCTCCTGCAGCGAGTGAGCCACGGGAAGACTGTCCTCCTGGAAGGTCTGCACTGAGTGATGCACGCGGCGAGTGATGAGATCCGGGTTACTGCTGCTGACGTACAGGTGACGGGACAGATCCGGGGTGCTGTTGGCGGGTCGAGGATGAGGGTAGGGATACGGTGGAGGCGGCCAGTAAACCTGATTCCTTATGATGTTGGGCGCCGGGTACTCTTGTGCCTGCTGGAGCTGGACGTTAGTGAGTTCGGGGACGCTAACGGCGCCCACCACGGGCCGTCTCTCGGTGGGATAGGGGTACGGAGAGGGACTGTGGAAGCTGTAGTTGAGGTGGAACGGATACTGGCCCGCTCCGTGCTCGCGGATCTCCGGTTGGCTGTAAACGAGCGGATCCGGTCGGCTGTAGGCGTATGAGTTCCCGATGTTGAGGTTTCTCATGGAGTGGCTCTGGCGCTCGGAGGGCGGGATCATACCGAGGTTCTTCTGCCTCATGACGGTCTCGTAATCGGGCGTGGCGCGGTAGGACGGTGGGATTAGGGCGCTGTGTCGGTGGGAAGGCACGTAGTCTGGTCGCATGAGGTCACTACCTGTGATGCTCGGGTTGGAGGACATGGGCGAGGGTTGTAGGTAATGCTGTGGGTTGTTGAGGGAGCTGGTGCTTTGGGCGCTGTAAACGCTGCCGTTACGGATCCGTCCGTTGTACTCGTGCGGAGAGCGGTCCAGACTGGTTTGGGAATGGTAGTAAAAACCATTCTGGTTGTTGATGTAAAGATTATCTGTAGGAAATTAGAGTCAGTATTTTAGGTCTTGTTTTTTTAGTAGCTTTATTGGCATGACTAAGTAATATAACATCATTATTATACAGTATATTATTGTTACATGACTTTAAACTATGCAACATAGGAGAACATTTGTGAACAGCTATTACAGTACAAATATCTAAACTTTTTATTAACTTGAAAAGCAGAATGATATTAAGTCTTGTTTTCTGTTTAAGCGTAAAGGAATAGTTCACTTAAAAAATAAAATTCTGTCATCATTTACACACATTCTTCAAAATGTCTTCCTTTGTGTTCAGCAGAAATTCATACAGATTTGAAACAACCTGAGGGTGAGTAAATGATGACAGAATATACATTTTTAAGTGAACTATTCCTTTAAATCAAGAAGAAAAACAATCTGCCAGTGGGGTCAGAAAAATAAACTTGTTTTCTCTTTTAAATAATTTTTTTTTAAACCCCATTTACAATAAGGTTTAATAATAAGAACGGACAGAGCATTTTCGGCCTGTTTTACCTTGCGAAGACGTGTATGGTTCGGTGTAATGGCCGTTAAAGTGCATCTGAGGTGCCATCATGTAGGGTTGCGGTTTTGGCTGCATCATAAGACAAAACAAAAGCAGCATTATTCAGCAGGACACATTAAGTCTGTGTCAAAACTAGTGAACTCCCTCAGACAGTATTTTGAGTCATATAGGTACCGTTCCAAAGTTAGGCAGCATAATTATATTAAAAGTTGGCTGTATACAGTTTCTTATGCTTATTAGATTATCATGATGCTGCCTTAAAAGAGAGCTCCCTATGAAGACCGCAAGTTTTTGCAATCGAGCTACAGTAAATCACATGAGATCATGCAGAGCCAAAAAACTCTAGAAACTCCATTGTAAAACTGTTGTGTAGTCCATGAATAACCGGTATAATGCTGACCAGAGACATTCTCGTAGAGGAGCGTCGCCTTACTGGGTTTACAGGAGCGGGCTGAGTTTGTCTGTAACAAAACACAAGGCAATAAAAGACCAGTTGAAATAAACCAGAGAGTAATAAAGTTCAAAGTTATATTTCTCACAAACACAGCGGTTCACTATGGTAACAAAAAAGCAATGGGTTAAGTTTTGCACTGAATTAGCATTTTTGCATTGCGACATTATCATTGGCAACTAAATATTTTTTGCAATATCTTTTACATTGCAGCATCACTATGATGCTGTAATGCAAAAATAGTGTAAAGTTAAATATTTATAAAAGATTGAAGTATTTGATTTAGACCTGGTTTCTCAAACAGGGCTTAGATTAAAGGAATAGTTCACTTCAAAATGAAAAGTGTCATCATTTACTCACCCTCAAGTTGTTTCAAACCTGTGTGAGTTTCTTTCTTCTGCTGAACACAAAAGAAGATATTTTGAAGAATGTTCGATAGTCAGACTGTTGATGGACCTCATTGACTTCCATAGTAGGGAAAAAATAAACAATGGAAGTCAATGGGGTCCATCAACAGACTGGTTATCTTCAAAATATCTTCCTGTCAGTGTGTGTTCAGCAGAAGACAGAAACTTACACAGGTTTAAAACACCTTGAGGGTGAGTAAATGATGACCGAATTTTAATTTTGAAGTGAACTAATCCTTTAAGCCAGGATTAGGCCTCAGTTCAATTAGGACATTTAAGTAGCTTTAATAAACGTGCCTTAGAAAAAAACATTACTGGTGTGAGACAAAACAATGCCACTGATACATTTAAAGATCTGTCAGTGCAAGTTGCTTTCAGTTAAAAACAGCTCAAACATGCATTTTAGGTCTGGGACTAGACTAAAGCCTTGTCTGTGAAACCAGGGGTTAGTGTCTATAATCCATCTTGATTTAAATGAAAAATAAAGTTAAGGAAAAGGTAGTTATCAGGAATTCCCCGTCACTCTGTAGCCCATGAGAAGGCTCTGAGCAGTAATGCAGTAACGCTCACCCCTTGTCAGCAGGCACAGAGGGACGCGAGAGGGTTGGAAAGCGAGGAAATGAAAGAGAGAGAATGGACCTCTGGGAGCCCTCAGAGTTCGGGCCGTCAGACAGCTCTCTGGAGACAGTAAACGGACAGCGGTGAAGCCACCGAGAGAAAGAGACACACAAAACTACAGATGCACTGATTTAGCAGCCAATAAAAGCATGTTTTCAACATTGATAATAATCAGAAATGTTTCTTGAGGATCAAAACATCATATTAGAATGATTTCTGATGGATCATGTGACACTGAAGACTGGAGTAATGATGCTGAAAATTCAGCTTTGATCACAGGAAAAAATTAGATTTGACAATATATTCACATAGAAAACTGCTATTTTAAATTGTAATAATTCAAATTTTTTACAAATTGTAAAAATGTAATTTTTTATTTTTGATCAAATAAATGCCGCTTTGGTGAGCAGAAGAGAGACTTTCAAAAACATTAAATAATCTTACCAACCCCAAACTTTTGTATGGTAGTGTACATTAGTTAAATGATTGCCTAAATCACGAAACGTTTTCTTTTTACTGTGCCTATAATGTCGTCCTGTTTCACATCCAACCAACAGAACCAATCTAGTATTTAGTCACAACATTACAAAGAATAAAACTATTTTTTTTAGAGGAAAGAGACAAATGAAGGCTATGTTTTTTGTTTAAATCGTACTGGCCAAAATCAGTGCACCCCAAACAAAAACAAACACACCATAGAAAACACAAACTTACAAACTGCTGTTGTTAACTTTGTAAAACTTGTGTCGCGCCAACCACATTCTGCACACGTATTTGGACGTCTCCATGTCTTCCTGAAACAGAGCCAGAACATTTTTACTAAATCAAATCAGGCTAGGACATTAACTTGTGTGTTTCAGGGCCTAAATCAGTGGCGTTCCTTAAAGGCCAGCTACAGATCTATTCATTTATATGAATGGACATACACATGGGCATTATTGTGATACACTCTTAAAAATAAAGTTTCCAAAAAGGGGTTTGTTAAGAGCCTTTTTTCTTATTGTGAAGAAATTTTAAAAGAACGTTTTTCCAACATAAAGAATTTTTTGTGCATTTAAAAGGTTCGATGGATGCTAAAGGTTCTCTATGGAACCATCATAACTCCATGTTAATGAAGTCGTTCAGTTATTGCAGGCAAAGAAAAGCATCTGAACTCTCTGAGGCGGTGCAGATGCAGACTTACGGTCTGGAACTGGATTGTGTCTTCTTTGTTGGCGAGCTCCAGGGCAAAGAAGGACTTATTATGAGTCATATTATTAATGTCATTCCACCTGCAGAAACAATGAAGAGCTCAAGTCAGACACATGACAGCAATACACAACCTAAAAACACGATACGATAAACAGCCTTTTGAGGACTAGGGCATTAGTGCACAAGTTACGGCCTTTGGGCAACATCTGATATATAAATCTCTATATTTAATTTATTTTTTGCTCTGACAAAGGGTGATAATATTAAGTTTTGTCCTCATGAACAATGGCTGGTTGAAATTTTTGGTTTCTCTTATTGAGGAACAGTTCCTCAATAAGAGAAACCAAAAATTTCAACCAGCCATTGTTCATGAGGACAATAAAAAAATACAAAGAAAAGAAAAGAAAAAGTAAAATACAGAAATAAATCTAGTTACAGTATTCAAAGTATGTTTTGCAATATTTACTCATATTTATTTATATAAAGCAAAATAAAACTAATTAACAGCAATATTTACCCACGTAATATTTTTTACTAAAAATAAATGCATGCACACATACCGAAACATCAGAGGTGCTTTCCCATTTTTGTGCTTGACAAAAATGCCGTCCTGACAAGAGCCGATAATCACATCTGTGCTCTGAGTGTCCTGTTCAGACACATGGAAGGAAATAAGAACAGCTTAAAATAAAGTAGCATTATATATTTATTCATTTAAATGGCTGTCAATAGCTTAAAATTATTATTATTAACCATGATTTTTTGTAGTTGATGCAATTCATCAATTTTTGTGTGAAGAAAAACTTAAGCCTGGTGTCTTAGAAAAAATCTACCATATCTTTCTTGGCAAGCAGATTATTTCAAAGCGAACACTTAGTTAGGGGTAGTTTTAAATCAATAATATCAAGTATGAGTAATAATGTTGTGATGCTTGACAAATACCACTAATAAATTTGTTCAGAAGTTCCTTCTCCATTATTTACTGTTAAATTAAACTGTGTTTCTGTATTAAACATAATTCATTTCTTAAAGGGATAGTCTCTGTCATCCTCGTGTTGTTCCAAACCCATAAGACTAAGATCTTTGAAACACAAAATAATGTTTTTTAAACAAATCTGAGAGATTTATGTCCATCCTTTGAAAGTCTATTCACCCAAAACGCTCATAAAGAGATCGTACAATAAATCCATACACTGCAAAAAATGCTTTTCTTACTTTGTATTTTTGTCTTGTTTCCAGTCCAAATATCTAAAATTTCTTAAATCAAGAAGCATTTACTAGATAAGTAAAATTACATAATATATTATATCCTGTTTTCCAGGGGAATTAATCAAAATTAAATGAGTTGATGCTTAAAAAAAGCAAAATTATCTGACAACGGGGTTAGAAAAATAATCTTAATTCAAACAGAAACAAGATTATTTTTCTAACCCCATTGGCAGATAATTTTGCTTGTTTTAAGCAAAAACTTAATTTATTTCCCCAGAAAACAAGACTTAATATCTTATGTCATTTTACTCATCTAGTAAATAGGTCTTGATATATGAAATGTTTGATATTTGGACTGGAAACAAGACAAAAATACTAAGAAAAGCATTTTTTTTGCAGTGAATGAATCAAGCAGTTTAATCCAAGTCTTCAGAAGAGACGCAATCGCTTTATGAAGAACATTTAATTTAAACTTTTATTCACACATAAACACTGATCAGTGAACAACATACATAACGCGTTCAAATTTGGTCACGGAAGCTCAAGCAAGAGAACCAATGAGGTTCATTCTCGTGTTACATCTGTTCATCATATAAAGCCATCGTGTCTCTTCAGAAAACGTGTATTAAACCGCTCCATTCATATGGATTTACTTTATATTTCAAAGCTGCTTTGAAAATCGGAATTGTATAAAGCGCTATTATAAATAAAGGTAACTTGATTTGACAACGTTTTGAAGCGTCAGAGTTTTGGGTGAACAGACTTTTAATGGAGGGACAGAAAAATATCTTCATTTGTGTTTCGAAGATGAACGACATGAGACATGACATCATTTTTGGGTGAACTAACCCTTTAAGTGTATGCATTCATTTTGTGCACAACTGTTATTCATCAGCCCTTGTTATATTTCTTGTTTTGACAACATTAGTACTGCATATTGCAAAATGTGTCAAGGGAATCTTTTATGAGGTAAACTGAATATTTTCTAACTCAACAGTCAGATTTATAGTCCTGTGCATGGTTTGGCACAAAACAAATATAGGCTCTTATTTGCCGATTTACCTTCGCTTGGACACTCTCCTCCCCGTACCCCTCCATCTTCTCCACCTCCTGCATGTAGAGTAACTCCGCCTCTGGTGCAGAAAGACCTCTGGGAAACAACACACACACACCATGAGCTCTGAGACACTACACAAAGATCACATTCAACAATGTTGCGGTCATCTGATCGCTATTATCAGGCTCTTCCTCATTCTTATGGTGCAATACACAACAAACAATGTCAGAGGACTGCAATGCTTATTCATAGATTTATTCCAAGATGCAGTAAAAGCTATTTCATCTGCATGACATGCCATTTTTCACAGGGTCCCAAATATCACAAGCACAAATGTGATACTGATTTTATACAAACAGTTCAATAAATAAGTTCATAGCGGTTCATTTCGGATTGAACCATTGAATCATTCGGGTGAACCAATGATTCAATGGCCCATTTATAAAGAGAGCTATTTACTTCATTCCTGAATGAATCAGCCGTTTGAAGAATTTTGGTAACCAAGCTGTTTTGGTTACCATTGACTTCCATTGTATGAACAACAAAACAAAACAAAAAAATACTGAGACATTTCCCAAACTATCTTCCACAAAAGAAAGAAAGCCATTCAGGTTTGAAACGACACAAGGGCGAGTAAAATGAATGATCCCTTTAATACCCATTTAATCTCATGGCATTATTTATGTAGTTGTAATTGCAGTGTAAATGAATTAATGCCACCACTGATCTGCAATAAACGGTCTGTAATCACATCTAAATACCAATTCAGATGCAGCTTCTGGGAAAAAATCATGGCCTAAAAGCATAAAAGTTTGTGAAATAATTTCTGTTGAATCAAATAAATTTCTTTCTAAACCTACTTTTTGTATTGTTTATTTGGTTCTTTCTCATTTAACACAATAATGACTTTACATTTGGATAAGAAATTTCCTCAAATGATGATGTGAGATTAATTAAAATGTAATTAATTTGCTATTGTAAAAAATGACAGCCCTAATTAAAACATCTTTTGTAATGGCTCTTGAAGGATTGTGAATCTATTTTAAAGACTTGCTCTTTAGGGAACAATGGCCAAATAAAAAGTGCATTATATAATTATGATTCAGAACGTTGATTTATTTTATATCTGCATCAAAAAAAAATGGCAGTTTCGAAAAAAGTTTTTTCTCGAAAGATCCTTCAGAGCAGATTTGCATGCGTTCGACACGTTAGGGCTGGGACATGTATTGAAATATTTGCCTAAAATAATACAATTTAATAGGACAATTTGCAAATATTTCAATTAGGGCTGTCAGTTAAACGCGTTATTAACAGCGTTAACGCAAACCTATTTTAACGGCGTTAATTTTTTTATCGAGCGATTAACGATCTTTAAAAAAGACCGATAGGTCTTTTTGGCCTAGAAAACTTTGTAGTTTTTTTCACATGCTTTTGCAACAGGACGCGGCGCTGCGCTATGAAACCCATTCATTTCAATGGCTTGCGCCGCGCGAGGACGTTTTGAAAGCACAAGCGGATCTAGCTAGACCGGAAACAAAACAGGCACGACGCCGCACACACTTGTTTGGGCTTGCGAGCCGGCCAAATAGTTGGTTAACATTACGTTTTGAGTGGATGACGAGCGCGAGACGCTGAAATGGATGCCAATAAGATTCTGAATGGAAAGTTTACTTTTAAAAAGTTGCCAAATGGTTCCATTGACGAGACCAAAGTGATATGTGTGTTTTGTCGTTGTGAACTGAGCTATCATCATCGCAGCACGTCCAGTCTGAAATACCACTTGATGGCCAAGCACACACACACACACACACACAGCTGATGCGAATTCTCCGCCCCCTCGTCAATATCAGGACCTCGTCAGTATTTCTTTCACCCTTTTATTGATGGACAGTGTTACATTGCGTGAGAGATTATTTGCTGTGAGAATGTAAGTGTGAAATTGAACACAGTATATGCCAATGTTGTTTTCAATAAAAAACATTTGCACAAAGCAAGCCGATCCACTTTTCCATGTTGATAAGAGCATTAAAATGAGAAAAAAATAATGGGACGAAAAGAAATCAAGAGACATTTAGAATAGATAAAAATGTGCGATTAATTGCGAGTTAACTATGACATTAATGCGATTAAATATTTTAATCGTTTGACAGCACTAATTTCAATACATGTCCCAGCCATAATGTGTCGAACGCATGCAAATATGCTCTGTAGGATCTTTCGAAACACAACTTTTGCAGGAAAGCCAAGAGCATTTGTGGTGCTCTGAGTCCAAAGCACTGATCATAAGTCATGTCAGGCGTTTGACAGCTGCCTTTGAAATCCTTTAACTAGTACCATCTGATATTCATGAAGACTCCTAACTGAACCTCCCTTAAACAGTGGCGAACTATCTCAGTCTTTTCCAAATGGGAAAACAAGCACATTTCGCAGATGACTACAGCCTCTCACCGATAGTTTTGATAGAGCATGGCGACTTTTTGAGTGGCCTCCTCCACAACCCTCTCGTCCTGAATCCATGGCTGAGAAAAGAGGAGAAAAAAAGAGAGAATGAACCAGCTTAAAAATATCCTGCAGTTTTTAAATCGGGAAAAGAGACTGAAATGTTCAATGATTACTCACCATTGGAAACAGCACAATTTTCTGAAGGAAGTCCTGGGAGTCATATCGATTGAAGTCTCCTAGGTCAGCTAGAAGCAATGGACAAACTAGATTAAAAAAAGCTCCCAAATATAATGTACACATGACACTGATTCTTTAATATCAATAAATTAATATTAATATTTTAGTTAACCAAATGTACATTATCCAGGGTTATTATAGTTAAATAAAACTAAAAGGCATTTTCGTTCGAAATAAAATACAAATATTCCTTTATTAAAGTTACATTTATAATGTAACTTTAATTAAAGCAAATTAATTTAGTTTACCTTGCTGTCCAAAAATTATTAAAAGTTAAGATTAAAAACTATATAGACATTTTATAAAAACACAACTAAATTAAAATGAAATCAGAAAAGATAAAAACAAAAACTAATTCAAAATATTAATAAAAACTATAATAGTATCTCAATGATACTATAATAACACAGCCATTATCTGAAGAGTTTAATACTTATATTAAGGATTTATAAAAATCTCTAATCCCATCCAGTAATAGAGATGTTTGACTCATCAAAAACAAAGTTTATTTTGCAATTTGTTCAATATTATTTTATATGATCTGAAGACTCACTGAAGTTGAGTTAGATAAAATGTGAGCCCACACAAATATTGCAAAATCATCTTCAACATTCAGGGCAATAGCACATCTAAATTTAGAAAAGCTGAGAGACGTTTTGTTATGAAAGGAATCGATTTAGCCTTTGCAACAGTAGTAGTTCAACATTAACAGCATGTCTAATCAGCCCGTTAGAAATGTTCACAGCTATGCCGACAATCCCAAGCATCACCATCGCGTGAAGCCTCCTTACACAGCAATGCTGGTGCACAAAAATAACTCCTGGCCTCATCGAAATGACACAAACCAAGTGAAGACAAAGGCCGTTTAACAGTGCAAATACAGTCGGGACATGATTTGTTTATCTCAGTGAGTGATGTCCGTTCCTATGTAACTGGTGCTGCCAGATATATCAGCGAACGAGATTCTTGTGTTGGGTAAAAGCTAAAGCTGGGCGGCTTGAGCCTGGCAGCAACGCTTGATAAATGGTGCTCTGATTTTCTAGACTTACAGCCTGTAGAAATATAAAACCGTACCTTCATGATGGAGTATCTGGACCCGTGAACCAGACACTGGCCAAGCGTTATCTTAGGAATGTTAAAGCAAATGTTCTCTTGCAACATCAAGTTATGATTGAGTCTCAAAACATCTTTCACATTACCGTATATAAAAAAGACAAGATTTTTAGTGGACTGAATACCTAAATATGAAACCTATTGAAAGAAGTCTCTTCTGCATTACCAGGCCTGAATTTAATTGATCAAAAATACAGTAAAAACAGTGAAATATTATTACTATTTAAAATAGCTGTTTTCTATGTGAATATATGTTCAAATGTAATTTATTCCTGTGATCAAAGCTGAATTTTCAGCATCATTACTCCAGTCTTCAGTGTCACATGATCCTTCAGAAATCACTCTAATATGATGATTTGATGCTCAAGAAACAATTATGATTATAATAAATGTTGAAAACAGTCATGCTACTTCATATTGTTGTGGAAATTGTGATATACTACCATTAATTTTTTTTTTAAATAGAAGAAAAATAATTTAGTTCAGTACGGACATAGTAAAATTGATCAAAAGTGAGAGTAAAGACATGTTTCTATTACATGCTGTACATTGAACTTCTATTCATTCATCAAAAAATAATTGAGCACCAATAATAGAGCAGCAAATCATCATATTAGAGTGATTTCTGAAGGATCATGTGACACTGAAGACTGGAGTAATGATGCTGAAAATTCAGCTTTGATCACAGGAATAAATTACATTTTACTACATATTCAAACAAAACCATTATTTTAAAATGTAATACTGCTTTTACTGTATTTTTGATCAAATAAATGCAGCCTTGGTGGGTAGAAGAGACTTCTTTCAAAAACATAAATAAATCTTAATCATTCCAAACTTTTGACGAACTCCACCACAATCACTGTATGTTTTCATATCATTTTCACTGATATGAGTGATGCCAGGAGTTTCATCTTTGAGTGAGCTACTCCTTTAAAGCCCAATCGAAATGAAACCAACCGAAAATAATATTAATATTACAAAATGCCCCACACAAAAAGATTAACGATCACTAAATCATCTGAAAACGGGGGGCAGTGACGCATTAGCCCTGCATCAATTCAAATACCTAAAATGCCAAACATAATAGCAGCAAAAATACCTTGCACAGCCAAGCTTGCCAAATGGATGGCTTGCTCAATGGAGCATGGGATCTTCCCCTCCAGAACGTCTTTCTTCAGCTGGAGATAATACTGATATCTGCACGAAAAACCGGAAGTGAGTAGAAGCGTTGTAACAGCACTGATGTGATCATTTTCAGACATATTCTTGTCCTTAACCTGGTTATCTCTTGTTGTAACTGGGTGACAGTCGACACGTAGAAAACCACCCCAAAGTAAACGGTCGGCTCCAGCCCGTACTTGTCAAGCTGTTTCTTCAGCGGCTTCTCCAAATCAATCCATCTCTGCTGGTTTTGTTTGTTGTAGTACCAGAGGCTGAAGTATGTTATCTGGGGAATGAACAGAATTTCACTGATTGCTCTTTTACTCATGAGAAACAACAGGCCCGGAGGCTGGCGGACATTCACGTGCTTAACTTCAAAAACTGCAAATACTCTCAAAGCTTTGAGTAAGATGACTATTAGGCAAAGCTAAAAGCTGTGCACTGTTCAACATGATGTATTTGAACTGCTTGAAATGATTGGAATCACTTCAAAAGAGGAAAATACAGTTGTGCAGCGCAAGTCTGACATATAGACTACATGAAATTATAATGAGAACATTATAATTGTGTGGTTTTTATTGGCGAGACTTCTGTTTTTGTAATCAGACTCTCAAAAATTATATAAAATTTTGGATTTATCGCCGATATATCGGTTATCGGCTTTCAAATATAAAGAATTATCGGTTATCGCTATCAGCCAAAATGTTTATATCGGTGCATACCTAATTTTAATGTATTAGTAAATGCTGAAATTAACATTAACACAGATTAATGAATGCTTTAGAAGTATTTTTCATTGTTAGTTCATGTTAACGAATGCAGTTAAATAATGTTAACAAATGCAATCTTATTGTAAAGTGTTACTAAATCTGAGATGAAACGGCAGAACCTAAAATATACACTTTAACTTTTGTACTCATACAATCTTGATGCTGAACTGGACATGATATTTTGTCTCATTTCTAATTCTGCTTTAATCTCAATCCTCTAAAATCTAATAAGGCTTTTTTCCTGCAAGCACACATGTGCTAGTGAACTTTAGGCTACTAAACACACTTAACGCACTGGGCGATACTCATACGACATGTTTGAATAGATGTTGCGACCTATAGCGATATAATAATCTGACTTTGGGGGGAAAACACTCAGACTTCTCAAGAGCAGTCGACTGCATACAAACGAAGCGCACTTAGTCCAGGCTGAATTCTTGGCACACATGCATTTAGGGTGTTTGACAGCATTTTGGTTGCAGTCCTAGAATAGCCTAGACTCCAGACGGCACCAGCAAGCTAAAATAAACACACGCCCATGGTGTGTTAAGGTGATTTCGACCAGATTAAACCAAGTTGATGTCTTAGTAGCCAGAGGACGGCCAGCCTACCTCGCGTAACTCGAGTCTCTGCGCAACTGCCTCAAGACATTCCTGGCCCGTGCTCTCCACCGAAAGCGTGAACTCCACATATTCGCCGTTGAGCAGCTGTATGCGAGTAACCAGGCAGCTTTTGCTGGACACCGTGTATCTTCTGGTTCTCTTGAGTTTTAATCCGAACGGAAGGGGCATGTTGAACCGGTGCCGCAACCTTCCTCGAGCAGAATGATTTGATTCAGCTTTTCTCCGTGCTTAATCCATGGAGAGGTGCTGGATTATACAGGGCTCCACAAGACAAACACATGAGTCCCTGGATAAAGACAAACCACAGCAAAACAGATTAGCAATGACCGCTTGGAGTGATAGCAGTGTTTATCTGCTCAGCGGTGGGTCACGGATAAAAGGCAAAAAACATTTCAAAAATAATAAAATGCAACTAGTCATACATAGTTAGCATAGCAAAAGAGGGTTATCTAATTTTACAAATTTTTTTATTGATTGAACCCACATTCATCTGTCACTTAGTAATACTAATATTAGTGTTTGTTAGGTAAACAGCACTTCTGTGGTTGTTTATGCATTTACAAAATGCCATGTCATGGATTGCTTAATAATACATACATGTTTGATGTTAGGGACATTTTTGTTGCTTTTGTGTGATTTAAAATATGTTTCTTGAAGTAAAACTGGCTGAGAAACACTAGTGCATTTATTAAAATCGATTTTAGAAGCATGACATGAATCAAATTTACACAGATAACATGAGGCATGTGCACAAACTGTCATACAGAAATCAGTCCGCAACTCAAAACCTGACTCATAATTGAGATCAATAACATAATTCATATAACGTTAGTTATGAACCGATCAGTCAAAAAACATATGCACCTATTAAGCAAATACACAATCATATTATTTCGAATTATTATATTATTAATAAAGTGACCCATTTATAAAAAAAATATAACAACCCTCCACTATAGTGTGGTCCATCTATTAATGACACTGAAAATAACAACATAAACAAAACATGAACAGAGCGTGATTTAGGCTATTGCAGGCCATTTAAATCCGCCAAATCTGTAAAAATAAGCACTATACTTTATAAAAGTACATCAACACTCTTAATTCTTCGGCCATTAATTAAAATAGATGAGTTTTTTAGCATTTACGAAATATAAACAAACACCAAAAATGTCTGACTAACTTTTGGAGCAACAAGTGACCGCAAAACCGCACGCATCCAAACTCGACTTCTACACTTCATTAAATAAGACGACAAAGTCTCCAAACACACATTTGAACGTCTAAATACATGTGACTTATTGAGATGTCTTAAGTTTTATCGTAAATTAAGACTTTAAGAGCGCGCGCTGGCTAACACTGCTAACACTGTAAAACTGAAAATGAATAGTTTAAACGGCTCTTTGCCGCTTACCTGCTGGATTATCTGATTTATTATATCCTTAATTTATAGCATGGGTAGTTTTTGGAGTATGAATTACGGTTTAAAATAATAATCCGATATTTGGTGGTTTATTTTTTCGGGATTGACGCATGTTTGAGGTTCCTCGGGTCACACTCCTGCTGCTGCGTCACATCCGCTCGGAATACCAGAGGAAAGGGGACCGGGATCATAATCATCCGCGGCTCTATTTTCTCTCACACCCATTAAAGTCTGGACGCTTTTTTTCCAATTTCAACACATCCATGAGGACTGTTTTGGATGGGGAACAGGCTTAATTTAATTTTTGAATTTTTGGGGAGAAGCAAGATACGGTCAGATTAGATTGAAAATTTAGATAAGATTAATAAATTGAACAATAGTGCTGCGCCTCGATACAGGGCGCGCGTTACGTCAGGTGCGTGGAATGCGTGGAATGAGAGCAGCTGCTGTACAGCCATGTGAATAATTGCAATGTGTGCTTTCTGAAAGGAGGTTTCGCAGTAATAAACAACAAGACTTTATCATCTTTTGCGGATTTGCGATAAAACAGTGTTATCTGTTAAACATTCTAGAGAGCATTTAACGGAAGTTAGAGAACACGTTGAATGTGATTTCATTCTCATGTCATGGTCATGGACAATAATAAACATGAACCAAATGTGATTGCAAAAGCATTTAATTATCTGTAGGCTATTCCATGCAACAAAAATACAGTAGTCTGTAAAAGTCATCTGAAATATAAAAATACATATGGTAACAGTTTTTCATTTCTCATTCTCAGTAGTTAAAAAAAGGCAAAACACTCAGGAGACAATTAAATCAACAGGTGCTAAAAGAAAGCTAACAATGTAAATTATATTGTGTATTTCAGTGTAACAAGTATTTAAAGTACACACAACTGTTTAACCCACTTGTCACTTTAAAGACAGCTTTAGCTTTATTATGTTTAATAAAGCATTCTATATGAATACTGCAAAAAAAATGTATGTGCATTGTAAACTCAAACAAATGTAGACTGACCTCTAGTTATTGATGGTGGGTGTGTGTGTGTGTTTGTGTGTGTGTGTGTGTGTGTGTGTGTGTGTGTGTGTGTGTGTGTGTGTGTGTGTGTGTGTGTGTGTGTGAGTGAGTGAGTGAGTGAGTGAGTGTGTGTGTGTGTGTAACAAATACAAAAGCTATAAAGATGGACATCTTTCAAAGTTTAAATAAAAGTTTAAATAAAAATCTGCTGTATCAAGTATATCACTGAATATGAACACTGCAGCTTCACAAACTAAAACACTCAAGTAAAAGTCACAGCATGAGTTTTGAATGACTACATAAACAATAAACCACATTATGAGCAGAAAAATTCAGGAAAGTACTGAATGCCGCACATAACATGCTGAAAATACTGTAATGGCTTAGAATAACAATCGATTCCTGGAAAACACACTGCCTTTTCCTTTCATAACATTAAAAAAGTTAAACCTGATATTCTACAGAAAGAGTTACGGTGTCTCAAAGCTTTTGCAGATGTTTACACTGAATTAGAACTCATCATCACTGACGTCGCCTCTCGTTTGCTCCGGTTCGAACACTTCCCGTTGAGTCTCTGACACACTTAACGACTCCGCCATGATTTTCCCAAGTTCATCGACCTGTTCTAACACTTCGTTCCTGGGATTTTCCCCAGCACAGGGGAGATGTACATTATCACTCAGGAACTCCTCGTCCAGGCTGTGGTCTACAGGTGTGGACGCTACAGCAGAGCTGATGTCCTCGATCTGTCCTCGGTCCTCGTTAAACACGTCATGAAGAAGATAATCAACATCATCTGAAGGCAGACGCTTTTCTTCTGCGCCCAGAGACATCGGGATGGAGGCAGCAGGAGGACTTTGCAGGTCCATCTGCAGATTGTCTAGAAGGTGCCGCATTTTGTTCTGTTGGGAATATTAGAGAGATGGACGGCTGTGAGTGTGAGGAAGGAAGGAACGCCAAGGAGTTCAATCATATAATCAAAGCCGCTTTAAAGTTAGAATAAAAAAAGCGCAATGCTGTGACACACAGACAAGGCGACCAGATCCCGTTTTTTTAATGCATGTCAATGGAGGAGAGGCTGAATAAACTGCTTTTGTTGCTTATCATTTAATGAATCGGCAGCCTATTGGATAACCCTCCTAAACATGCCTTTTGGTTTGATCTATTTTGAGTTTACACTGAAAAAATATATAGTTTTATAAGAGAAGTCACAGAGGTATGATTCAGTTTAAGGCATTTCTTTGATATCCGCAAACAGTGATTGACTGTCACACAATTCAGTGGATGGGCATGTGACACGTACAACTTGGGTGATTGGTTAAAAAAACTGCTTGGTATTGGGTGTCATATAATGAAATTTTATATGATTTGTATGTTGCTTCCAAAAAATATATATATATAAAGAAATAAATATACACACTGCTGTTCAGTTTTCTTCTGCTCACCATGGCTGCATTTCTTTGATCAGAAACACAATAAAAAAACAGTAATATTGTGAAATATTATTACACTTTAAAATAGCTGTTTTTATGTGAATATATGTTCAAATGTAATTTATTCCTGTGATCAAAGCTGAATTTCCAGCATCATTACTCCAGTCTTCAGTGTCACATGATCCTTCAGAAATCACTCTAATATGATGATTTGCTGCTCAAGAAACATTTATCATTATTATCAATGTTGAAAATAGTTGTGCTGCTTTTTTTTTGTAACTGTGACTAATCTTTTGTAACATTATAAAGGTCTTTACTGTCACTTTTGATCAATTTAATACATTACATACTATAAATATATTTAAAATATTATTAAAAGCAATAATGAGGAAATTGTTTGTGCTTATTCAAATCACTTTATCTATAACTATAACTTTATCTATATCACTCACCTCATCTAATCGATGCCTGTTCATATCAATGTGCCGTTCAAACAGTCTCTTCAGTACCCTGTAAGGAACGTTAGACTGATAAGAAACAAAAAGTGACACAAAAAATGCCGTGCAATTTGCCTCCATACATTAAAAAGATCTCACACACCTGTCAGAGTAAAGGCCCTGAGCTAGGATGTCATTCGTCACGTCTGTAATGAACTCCAGGTACATCAATTCTTCCTCCCTGGCGAAAACAACAAGTTCAGAAAGTCCACAGAGTGACACAGGAACATGAATACATAAAAAAAAAATACAATTGATTGTTATAATTGCATTCTTGTATTATATCAAAAAACAAAATCAAGACTTTGTCAATGAGCATAATAGGTCCCCTTTAACAATATTAAGTGGGATATTAGCTGTTTAAATGCCACATTAGTGAAATATTTCATGTATTTCAGCGGTCTAATACATGACACTCACTCTGCAGAAACTTTTCTCATTATGGGGGATCTCATGCCTTCTGGTGAAACCCTGAAACAAAACAAAAGAGTCTTTTCTCTTATGCATATAAATGTGTAAAAATGCAAACGAAAAGCCAGCAAATATATAACTAACTTCAAACATCTGTTTTTTACTGTTTTGGTGAGCTCATTACATTTTTTGGTAGCAAAAGTGTGCCGACTGCATATATATATAAATATTATAAAAACATGTGGCATTTGTGTTATATACAGCATATTTTACCTGGAAGACGAGAGAAGAAAATCACTGTCCTTAAACCTGTTTGTCTTGCCATGATGTCTAAATGATTCTTCATCCGACCACTCGTGATCAAGAGCAAATGTCTGCAAAAGGACAAAAAAAAGCTAAATATTTAACAAGACGCCAATGTGTTTATATTTGAGCTTTTCGTTGTTTAGATTTAAGCTCACTCCGGATATTCATCAAAAAACTTCATCAGGTGCATTCTGGGATGCTTTTAAACACAACTGAAGGAGGAACA